TTTTCTATGACTGAAAAATGCATTAAAAAAATCCAGGTTTTTCCAAGACACTTGGGAACTCTGACACCTGGACAGTGGGCTCTCGTTTTAGGTGACTTTAAAAATAACGCCATATATCCTCTGGTTATTTTTTCTTTGAATTATGTGTCATAAGTTAAAATGATGTAAACTGCATAATAATAAAATTTTTAAGTATTCAGCACAGCTTTCACATACCCTAAGAGCCCCATATATTCAAATGCATTGAATGATATGAGCCAATGACAGCAAATCTCCTGCCTGCTACAAGTGTGTGGTTGTGTGTGGTTGTATGTGTGGTCACATGACTCCAGGCGACTCCTGGCCTACGTGTATACACCTGTGTGCATCACAGGGCTTGTGGGACGGTGGTGAGGGACCAGACCTGCCCGCCTGCCCGGAGCTCTTCGCCTGGCCGCCGCATTCCTCGCTGACAGGCGAGATGATGTCGAACTGGATGGGCGTGTTGGGAGCCACTAGGGAGTCCAGGGAGAGGGAGGAGAGAGAGGAGAGGGCCGGGGAGTCGGAGCCCTGGCTGCTGGTGCGCGTTGCTTTGGGGCGGCCTGGTCTGCGGAGGCCACACCCAGGAGATCGTTACATGTACCATTCATCCATCACAGGAAGTGATAGATTATAATTTTTAAGAATAATATTCTATATTTGTTTTTATTATGCAAGTATGATTTGTTTGCTTTTGAGTATTTTTGGGTAAATACCCAAAAATTTACCATCTACTGGCAGAGGCCTAAATCCAGTGCTGTGCTGTTACAGTGGTACCTCAGTTCTCAAACTCATTAGAACTCAAATTTCTTAAAAGTCGAACCAACCAGTTCGAAAAAAAATTACCTAGAGCTCGATCTGAATCTCAGAATTCAAACAGTGAACGCCGACCTAAGATAACTTGCACGTGCGGGGAAATGAGTGACGCAGCACATCTCTAAGCAGAAACAAAGGGTAACGCTTCAGTCTCAGCCTGGCATTCGCTATGAGAGCATCGTGCATGTTTACACTAGCTGAATACATATATTTAGACAGTAAAAATACATTTAGACAATGATAGACAGTAACAGAAATTATAATATAACAAAATACAATTAAAAATAAAGATTTCTAATTAATTATTTTTATATTGATAATAAACCATTAATACATTTAATTATAATAATATTGTCGTGCCGAGCGGGGATGGAACGGAGACAAAGGCACAGACATCAGGGTATCGGGGAATACGGGGTTTAATTACAGGTAAGGTAGGCAAAACACAGACGGACAATACAATGACCGGACAGGGGAAACAAACTGAAACGCTGACGAAATACAGAGGACAACAAGCAGAAACAGCTGATCACACGGGGATTCCACACGGGGTTAACGAGGGGGCGTGGCACACGGAAGGAGCAGACCATCGGGGCAGGACACATTGTTTTTTTTATTTAACTTTACACATTGTTTGGATACATTTATTTTCTTACTTTACAAATTACTGTTTTGATAAATGTGCTTAGATGTGTTTAGTACAGTATATGCTCTTCTTGTTTTATCCGGTTCATTTTGTGTTTAAATGATACAGAAAACATATTTAGGTGTAATTTTTTGGGACCGGGAACCAATTAATTGGTTTTCCATTATTTCTTATGGGGAAAATTCGATCAGAACTCAAACTTTACAGGATTCGATCCGGAGTTCTGAACGGATTAAGTTCGAGTTCTGAGGTACCACTGTACTTGGTGTGTGTGAACCCGCGCACCCTGTGGACACTCACGCGCTTGGCCGCATGTTCTCGTGCCTTTGCTGGAAGGAGGGCGACGGTGTCACTGCCTCCAAAGCCGACTGGTTCACACGGGCGGCAATTTCCTGCCAATGAGGAGAGAGAGCCTCAGCGAAGGATCCAATCACGGGAAGGCAGCCCGTCGAAAAGGGGCAGAGCTTTCAAAATATATCCAGCAGCTTACTGGGAAATGTCACATGGCACATCCTATACCGGTGTGAAGTGCTCTTACTATAAACACGGACACACCCGACGGCGGTCTCACACTGACCTCAGGGTTTTCACTGAGATAGATCCTCTTTGAGATGTTGTTAATGGTAGCAATCCACTGTGGAAACAGGCAAACAATATGCATGAGTTATTTCACAGAAATGTCATTTCCTGCTTTTAATTTATTTAACCCAGTTAAACACTAAGTAGAAAAAATACAACTGGGGTAAAAAGTAGTGACTTTGAGAGAGATAAGGTTGAATGATATTAGACATTAACATTCATACTGACAATTCCTTCCAAAAATGAGGATTCCAATGTGAATGTATAGAGGTGAGTTTCTTCTAGAAAACTCTTTAAATAATGTGATAAGAAAGCTGTGACAGAACTGAACAGCATGATTCCCAAATTCTGCCATTATGAGCGCAGTTAATAGGATGCCAGGTTCATTCTTAGTGCAGCAAAAGAAAATTTGGGTTAAAGTGTCAAAAGTTCTAAATCTGGCAGAAATTTGCAGCCACAGGATCAGCAATATATTTTATCTGTAATTAAAAACACTGAACTCTGATGACACTTTAGTTAATTTAACTAAATTTTAGTTAATTATATCAATGCCTCCGTCCCCCCCTCTTCCCCATCCAGTGGTAACATACAGATACGCTCATGCTGCAGCTCAGGGCCAACCTGTCCAGCTGCAGAACTGAACAGTAAAGACCAAACACACAGACACGCTGTATTACCTCCTCGCAGTCCTTCCTGCTGTCTGCCTGCAGGATGGCCACCCTGAAAAGGTATTACAGGTGTCACGCAGGCCTCAGATTGGCCCCATGGGAATGCCAAGGGTCTGTCCAGGGGGAATCTCTCCAAGAAGCATCACTACTAGGGCTGCAACTAACGATTATTTTGATAATCGATTAATCTGTCGATTACTTTTTCGATTAATCGGATTGGGGGGGGG